GTCCTAGACCACAACCCTTTACTTTCTATGTTATTTGCAAGTGTGATAACATGTTTCCGAAATATATCCTCTTTTTCACTAGAGCTATTAGCATTACCAGTCTGAAACAGAAAAAAAAGCTCTCCAACTGTTTAAGACTTTGCAAAACAAACTTGAATACGGCTGCATAATTTGCCTTTCTCCAGAAAAGCCTATTAAACTTTGTTGGCACTGGATACAAAATAAAATTCAAAAATTTGCATTTTCAGTACTTTTGGTTTCTTGACCTTTATTTGAATTTGAGACTAAGCTTTACCAAACAACAGAATTTACACAGTAACTAGCCAACCACAGTCCTCATTATGGAATCTATGCAGTGCATTTGTTACCTAGGAAACGGACCAGAGCACAGGCAGAGTGCAGTTTCAGTCTAGCAAAAGAATTCTCCAATCATGCTGGTAAATAAAGTCCATAAATCAACTAATCAGAAGCAAAGTCAAGAAGTATCACATAGAGTTAAGCTCAATGGAAACTTTTTTTAAAAGAAAAAAAGAAACCTGTGGGGCTTCTTTAGGCAACGATGTAGATCTCTTAAGTAAATATTATGAGCAGGTTTCTTTACAAACACAAACTGTCAGAAAATAAACTGTTCAAAATAAATGGCTTCTCTCCAATCTTCAGCTTCTCTATTTTTGACAGTACTTAAGAGAAAAAGCTTCTTTAGAGCCAGCCTCATACATCTGGTACCAGAATATTAATCCAAGAATGAATTTTGCATTTTCAGCAAGCGGCATGGGGTTTGTGCTGTTCTTAAACAATGCAGCACGAAAAAGGCTGGAATGAGAGGTCACTATCCACACCTCTCACGGTTAGACCTGCTTCCCTACCAGGCTACAAAAAAATGTGAAAAAGGACTTGAAAGTCACAAATCTAGTATAAAGAATAAAATTGTTATTTTTCAATTTTCCATTTATTACTAATAATAATACTAGTCATTTGAGGGTTCTAGTTTACATAAAGTGGCCATTTTAAGTTTCCTTTAATGATACCACCTTGATAACCAACAGAAAAATGCCAGAAAAGTCGATGAATTGTAAAGCCTATCAAATTTAACTGTAGACAGTTTAGTGTTGTTTTAAAAAAAGAAGTTGCTAAATGTCA